CCTCTTATTGCATTTCACTTATAACTTATAATAATATATTACTATATTACTATTTTAAGTGTGTTATTAAATTTTTGTTTGCAATTTAAACATAATTAATACACCAATTATTTTGTCTATTAAAAAATAAACAATGTTTATTAAATTGATCATTAATATTCATATATGAAGAAAACTTATTTTTTACGTCATAAACAGTCAGCAGTGCTATCACGTTTTACTTACAACATAATATTATTTTGTACAAAACAGTTTATTTATCATTCTCATTAATAATCGGGCACCGTTTAATGGCACTGAAGTACTAACTACCTACTGAGCTCGTTTCAATCAGACTATCATAATATTATTATTGTATTAATTTAATTGTTTTCCCCTCAAAATTTAAAACATGATCAAAAATCGAATTTTAAAAATTATTGGTTGTAAATCTATAATTCATTGACAAACGTGTTGTTCTCTGTATCTTTTTTTTTTATTGTAAATTTCAAATCCAACGAGCACAATACATTTAATTCATTCAACGTTCTACTTTCCTTTGAAATAAAAATATTATATAATTATATGTGTATAATTACTGTATATATAGCTGGCATATAGACACGACACGTGCATATGATACAGAGTGTTCACCTTAAATTTCAACCCTGGTTGGCCATACAGAGACACACACACACACACACACACACACACACACACACAAACACACTTACTTCAAGAGCACGATAGAAGGGGTCGTCAGAGATGTAACTGGATTTTCAACGACGTTATTTATACGCTTTAAAACAAGCGATTGTCGCACTTGAGCACTTACCCGATGCTAAAAAAAAATCCCGGTAGGCGATAACCGAGAAAGTTTTTTCGCTAGCTGACCGATCTAAAGTAACAATCTATTTGCATTGATATTGTGCATTGACTATGTGTGAATCAAAAGTGTTGAAAATCACTTCAATGAAGGGCGTACAATCATAATTTGTGAATTGCAAATATTCATTTATATTGGAATCATTTAGTATTAGCTGGAAAAAACTGGGTAGTGTATATTTGGAACACGTTACAATTATTATTTGTTATTAGGATTTTATTACCTTAAGTATTGGTGTAGTATAAGACATATTGTGGTAAGCATATTTTGAAATATGTCAAGACATTACTATTCGTTTTTCAATTGTTATTTAATCGGTAACAACAATACTGAAATAGTACCTCTCCATTACCAGTAGGTATAATGTAACATGGCGTGTCTCAACGAAGCCGCTATTGTTGCATCCAAAGAGTATGACAAACGCTTCTCGCAGTGAAGTGCTAAAGTACGATACGTAAAATTCAGCCTGCATATAATTCGTCTTACGTTCAGCAGTGCAACAATTATAAAACTTTTATGCACTTCTATATATGATTCACCAACCATGCTCACTAACTAATTTTTTTTATTCAAATTATGAGCTTCGGAATTTTGAAGTATACTATAAGAGTATAAGACCGTATTTTTACATATTCAGATATTCGTAAATCATATGATATAAGGAGTTTTCAGTGTCTTGGGGTGATACAAAATTCCTTTTGTTCCAACGAGATCCATCCTTTTGTACTTTAAATTGTTAAGCATATTGTTGTTTTTTCAATGTCGATTTAACTAAACACATTTTGAACAAGGTAGTTTCTGAGTTATGACATATTATGCAGATACTAAGGATAATAATTCTAATTAACAGTTTTGCATAAAATGTAAAATAGATATAATATTAATTGAGTCTTGTTTTTATTTTATGCTAAAAAATTTCTTTCAAGTCATGAAATGTTATTAATATATACACATAAATATTAATTAACTTTAATTTTCAAATTACCATTGACATCATTAAATTAACATATTTTTAAACTTATCATAAACATTTTTAGTGTGGCTAAGATTTACTTAATGAAGATAACATAAGTATGATACATCAAAATGCTTTTTTTGAAAAGAGAAGATTTTTATTTTAGACATTTCAATGATAAGGTAATTTAAATAATTTTATAACCACTTTATACATTTTAAAATATTATAATTATGAAGATCTAAACATTAATTTTATTTGAGTTTTAGATCGTATGAAACACAATGAAATAATAAAATAATTATTCATATCCGTGTATGATTGGGTAGGAATACATTTTAATATTTCATGGAACGATAAAGAACAATTTCAATCATCAGGATAGGAAAAATAATATTTCCTTTTTTGTTGATCGACGAATCAAAGACATCATAAACCATATAGCCAGGGTGTTCAGCTGAACAGCCAACAACAGATCATCGTCCCACCATTACTTACCTATAGTTACCTGTATAATGATGTACTAGATCGTCTTGATGTTGTATTATGGTTTATGAAGCCAAACAAATTATATCACTGATACGGCTTGCGATGAAAACGATTCCGATGTATCTGTAAAGAAAATTACCCAATTGACGAACAGACATTGCTATCAATAACTACAATTTGAGTGGGAAAAATGTAATTTGATTATGGGGTATATAATATACATGTCGTACTCGTTCGGCAAAGTTCTACTTTCACGAAATGAAAAACATTTTTTGTAGTCAATGAAATAAATAAATTAAGTGATCATTTTTCATTAAATTAACGTTCAAATTTTACATCATATAATGTTATTTTACTATACGGTTGACATTTTATCTATACAAGGGGAGCTTCAGAAATCATATTTTATAAATAAAACATTACTATTTTATAACGATAGAATTATTTTAACTAAACACGCATACAACGCATTTAATTGAAGTATCGCATTTATAATGTTTTATTATTTAAACAAGTGTCCATGAGTTTTATTTTTAAAAATATTTAGTTATGAGTAAGGACGTTTTTCCTGGTATTTTATTATAATATTTATATTTTTTGTATAATCGTATTTTATAATTAAATCAGTTATTAAAATTTGATATATTAAAAATGTAATATATTTAAAAATATATACAGATACATTTGACACATTTTACAATCACATCCATTTTATTTTAAGTATTTAACTAATTAATCATCACCTTAAGTTGTGAAAACTGTCAGTGTTGATTTATAAGTTATGATATCAAAAATGTCTAATGTACGACAAAATATGAGTGTGTTATCAATGTGTGCACTTGATGAATTTTTGTAAAACATTTGATTTCACTAACTGGCAATACTATATAAAATATATAAATCAAATATATTTAAGTGAAAGTGTTTAATAAAATATTATGCAGACGATTATTTTATAGTTAACCGGGCGGTATCGGCGTATCGTAAAATGTATTGAACTTTGAGTTTTAAGAAACTATAAAAATATTATGATCATAAACTTTTAAATAATTTCAACAATTTCTCGTATTTTCTTATATTATACTGCCTATTTGATTTGGGTCACCCTTTATATTATTTTATTATTTATTATACAAGATTTCAATCCAAACACTTACTTTCTGCTTTTGATTCACTACGACCTCATGCAATTTATTGCCATTTATACCTTTCATGGTGTTTTTAGGAAAGCCCAAAAACATATTCATACTATTTAATTAGGTACAAGTAAGTACTACACTCAAAAAGTCTGTAAACATTAAAGTATTTGTCACATTGAATATTTCATTCAACTTTGTTATGCATAATTCTTATGATTTGAAAACACATTAAAATCCTATAAAAGTCATGAAGAGTGTTATATTTGCCGTTATTTTTTAGTGATTTATAGCAAAATACTTTTTTGTAAGTTTTTGAAAATGCCTATGAATTAAATTTGTGTATATCAAACCAATACATATAAATGTTCTAACACAGCCAGTATATCTTAGTGTAAGTTTTTTTTCTGAAATGTATAATGTAAACGTCAAATATTAATGAAACGTATTAAATAAACTCATTTATAATCATTTTAATTTAATACAAGTGTATTACTATGAAGTGTCAGCTGATAAAGAATTCTTCAAATTGTTGACATACTTACCAGTTTGACTGCTAAACTTAAAATTTAAAATAACTATTATATTCCTTCAAAACTTTAAGATAAAAGTTCAATATTTGATATCAATATGACAATATGGTACATATTATTGTATCGATCAACATTCAAAAATATAAATAATATATTCTAACATACAATACTATATCAGAACGCGAGTTGATTACTATTCTATAAATAGTAAAGAATCAACAAAAAGATTTGAATTTTTTGATATTTGTTCAAATATATATACTTGAAAGTTTTATAAAAAGCAATAATTGTAACACCATTACAGACTTGTTTTCTTCAGTCGAGTTTGACAGTTAATGTACACAGTTACTTGCAAGATATATGACAAGATGTTATGATATCAAATAAGATAAAAATCATTTAAAAACATCAATTACTCGGTTTTTATTTCAGAAAAAAAACTTGAATAAAACACAAACATTAAATAATTTTTTTTCTTGTATATATAATATATACTGTTACACAATTAAATGGTTTTGGAAAGTACAATATCGCGGTTAAATCCTATATTAAATGTATAAATCATAATAATATAGTATAATATTTTTGTGATCACATATTATTATGTTTATATCGTATTTTGTGTGGTGGAAAGAAATTAATGTCGTTTTCATATTTAATTTTTATTACCGATAATGGGAGTCAGTGGGCGGGTAGGTGAGGGGAGGCGACGGTATGTTATCGCCTCAGCGCTTGGCCTTGCTGTAGTTCAGTCGCGCTGTGAAAGAGAAGAAAACATTTTAAATAAATAATTAATAATATACTTTCGATTGGTACGGTTAAATATAATCGAGACCGATTCACGAGCCTTTCTGGGCATCCACTCCGATACAAACATAATAACATTACAAACGTTTGACCATGTTATATTACCATACATATTGAATGTACCATAAAATATTATATTCATATATATTACAATCATAATATATAGAATTATTACACTTGTAAAATACTTATCAAATACGACGACGATGGCGATGAATATCGTCTGTTATAACATGACGTAATAATAATAATGTCAGGGTGTTTGGCTATTGTGCGTGAGAATCGTTAAGCTATCTTAAGAGAGATGGTGCTATTCGATTGGCTACAAAGGCGACCAATACGAACACGCATCTGGTAGCAAAACGATCAGCTGAACTCGCTTGTGGTCCACCTAGAAACGTTTCACAAAGTGTGAGTACACATAATAAAAAAACATTAACTTATAAATCGATTAGGGTGGTCAATTTAATGAAGAAACCGATACCCACAGGCCACAGTACTATTGGCTTATAAAATAATATCGATTATAGGAACCGAGATTATTAAGATTTTCATAAAGGTAACTATTATCATGACGTTATTACATATTATGACTACGGAGATCTAATAGTATGTACAAATGAGATAAGAAAACTAGAAGTTTTGGAAATTTAGTTTTATTGAAAAATGTTTAAAAACGAAAAGTGTACCATCTTATTAAAGTCAGAAGGTACACAAAATGATTAGATATCTACTGCTGTGCCACGAATTACGATGCATACATTGTCATAGAAAGCTGTATTGAAAGAGGAAATCCAAGGATGGAGTACGTCATGAAACAAATCTTTATAGAAACTGAAAAAGTTAAGAAATGAAAGATCGGAGAACTTTAGGAAACTAATCAAATGATCGGAGACATGATAAAACACACAATTGTAAGTAAAATACGAAAAACTGGTTGAATTGGGTTATAAATAGTCAATTAATAGCCAATAATCGTCAAATTTTTCAAATTAATATTTTGAAAAAAAATCAGTTTTTTATTCGACAAATATTTTTTATAAACGTATACATGCATCTCGGATCTCATAGATTCGTGGCAAGTACCTATTATAAATGTCATGACAATTTCGGTCTCGCCCTATCATGAAGATAAACGCTGTATGGTAAATCTAATTTTATATAGTCGTGTATCGTGTATGGAATCGATTTAAAAAACTACTGTAGGTATATGATCGTCTCAACCACTATAACAGAATTTTATCTCTCTGGTCTGTGGTGGTTGGTTAGCGAGGTTAACCACTTACCCGATCTCAGCACGGTAGTGGGGCTAATCATCTGAGCCAGTCTCGGTGAGTCGTCCATCAGCTCAATAACTGAGTATTTTTTGTACAACAGAAACTGATTGGACTCGCAGCGGACCGTCATACGGCCACCCGGGAAGTACGCTGCGTGGGTCGTCAGCTCCAGCCGCGATTTGCTGGTCAGCAGCCCGTCTTCTTCAGCAGTAACCCAAGCAGTCGTCTTTGCGTATTTCGTCGAATTCGTTACCTACAACAAAATCAAAATTGTATTTTAAATTGTGTAATTATTTTCTTTTAATATAATCGATTCTATGTCATCACATTGTCGTCGTTTTTGCCACATTTCACCACCGTTTAAATAGGCATCATGACAATGTATTATGTGGTAAAATATATTGTAAAAGGAAAAAATAGAAAAATTATCAGGCACTCATCGTCGTTGTTGTCAAAAAAAAAAAAAAAAATGTGAAAGGCGTTAATCGTTTTATGACTCTTGAGATGAAGTTAATAACAAAACAAAAAAGGTCTGCGCACTTCTATAACAATATATAACGCATATAATCAAAATCGACTACCCTATATACAAGCGCTGAGAGTGCGAGACAGCCATAATTCAAACAGAACAAAAACTAACAAAAACGAAGTACTTCAAGTAAAGCATAACTTTTGTAGTTTCGGTTTATGTAATGAAATTTCAGAAAATATTGCATTCAAACCAAAGGTTAAGGATAAACCAACACCAATATCGATGAAAGCAAACTAGAAGAAAATAATAAAAATTATTGGTACTTCAGGAGTAGAAAACCAAAACTATTCAGAAGTGAAAGGTACCAGGTAAGTTTACGTATAGATTGAACTGTGAGATGAATAAATCAGTTTTTATATAGTGATCCGTATTAGGAAACGGTAGCGGTAAAAGTTTAAAATGTTGTTCATAAAATGTGTCAAAGGCTATGGCATTTTCCTTTCTGGAAGTTTCAAACAAAATGTGTGTATAATATTATAATGAAGGAGTTTCTCTAAATACACAGCCACTTCATGCAAATTGAACCTTCCGATAATATTTTAAACTCAATATTCCTCTTTCAAATTCTAGCCAGTGGTTTTGAGAAGATAATATGATAAAATATAAAATATAAATATTTGGAATTCATGGAATTCAAGCAAGCAGTTAAATCGGTTTGAAGTGTATATATTAAAATATATAATCAAATGTTGAAGACAAATTATCGTTTTTTTAAATTTTAATCTTCAAATCTTCCTCTTACATTTCAGTAATATTCTGGACATAGTCGTAGTCTATTTAATGACACTTTTCATCTCTATGTCATAGATAAATAGTGTTCGTACGACTTATAGATGATAATACTACTGAATTGACGTGAGTTCAATGTGGCTCACTCGTCTTATTATTACCAACGAAATGGATATTTATCTCACTTCCATCGAATGGAATGTTAGTGTGTTTCAATTTCTCAAATCACTAATCTATTATCTAAATATGCTTTGATCCTATCTGTAATGTCATATTATACATTATATACAAACTCTGCAGTCTACCATGTCGATATAATCGGTATGTCTACAAAACTCTAATGAAATAACTTTGTTGAATGTCATTAAATATTGACTTGTATTATACTTTTAAATGCACTTTAAATTGAAGTTATACAAATCGTATATCGCATAAATAAACTTCAATGCTGCACTTTTCTTAGAATACTTTCATTCATTGGTTGGATTTTCACTAAATAAATATGTACTTTTTTACGTTTGTCACTAAAAAAAGTAATTTCACTTGGAAGTTAAAACAAAATTTTGAAACTTACAGATAAGATTAAATGTAATTAAATCCTTGATAAGTTATAAATTATAACATGTTATAAGTTTTCCTTCTTCAAAAAAATTAAAAATATCATCACTACAATTTAGTGAGGATTTTAGTGTATGTAACTGAATTAAACATTTAATACTTGGTTAACCAAATAAAAAAAATACTTTAAGCATTGTGCTTAACATTTTTTATAGGTAACATTGTTTAGCGCAATGCAATTGATAATGCAATTTATTTTTAACAATAAGTATTAAAAAAAATAATTTAGAAAAAGGACATTTATTCCCGGTTTTAATCTTGTTTTCAAAAACATTTAATTCATGACTAATAATATTAATTAATAATATTAATACTTCAAATACCGTAAATATATATCCTTGTACTTTTCTTTTATTATTGCATTGGCTTATTTTAAATTCACGCATTAATTATAATAAATGTATTTTAAGAATTGTAATGTCAATACTGTATTATACGTCTTCGGTTAGAGTTGGGCAATTTCCAGGATTGGTTGCACATATTGAAAAATGATTTGTATTCAATAACTATTTTTAAGCATCATTTGATTATCATTAACTATTCTATCGAAGGGGATATTTAAATAAAATATTTAATTTTTTTATCATAATAGAAATATATATATAAAAAGAATTAAAAGAACTAAGATGAAAATATTAATTAAGTTTAGTAATTACGTAAATTTAAAATTGAAAAATAAAATATGTTGTAACTTTATTTCACTAGTTAGATATTTTAATCAATATAAATGTCTAGGTAGTAAAAATAAAAATAAAACAGGTAACAGGATGTCACTCTGCTGTATAGTGGGTTACAAGCAAGCCACTGTTATGGGTAGTGTTAAATTTAAATTCTAAGATGTAAGATTATTGTATACATAAAACGATTCTGAGCAATGACGATCTGTCAGCCTATAATATTGTGTGATTTTATTGTGATTGAATTCATTTACTTTACTATTAGGTATTAGTTCTACGGTAGTTTAAATTCATTTTTGACAAAAAAAATTACATTTAAAAAGTCATTGTGTGTATAAAATATAATAATATACTTCAAAAGTAATCATGAATAATATTTTTAAATTACAACAAAATAACAGAAATCGATATTCTTAATTTAAATGTTTAGTTACGTCTAAAATTTAACTTGAAATAGCTATGAAAAAAACTGTATGAATAAATATTTTAAAATATTATTATTAATTATTATTAATATTATTTAATATTCTATCAACAAAATTAAGACCTTCATGCAACCTTGTTTTACATTTTTAATCTTTTGATATAAAAGTTGAAAAATGTTAGACTACGAAATAATTTCTACATTTTGAATTTAATAAATGTTGCCAACATTTAGGCTTTAATTGCTTATAAAAAAAAACGTATCTATTTATTTTTAATGTTTTTCAACTTTTTCTAGAACAATATATCATGACTTTTGTATTCAATTTTCAAATTGTTTGATCTAATGAACAACATTTTACCAACATTTATAGAAAAAAATATTAATTTTAATAAAATAATTGAAGATTGAAAATGTCCGTAATAGCTCAAAATGAGTCGAAATATCTTTTTTTCAATTTTCAAGTATAGGAAAAAAAACATATGTTGTGTGAAAATAATATTAATATATACGGTTAATTGTTTTTTAATTACAAACAACTAAGATAGGTAATCGTTCAATGAGAAATCCAATGCTGTAAAAACTTCAAACGCTCATAAAAATTTGACTCTTCAGTAATTTTTTTTTTGACACAGGTAGACAAACATATGAGGAATCTCGTTTAAAAATTTAAAATCTTATATTTAAAAAGAAAATTTTTTATGAATTTCTAACTCAAAATAATATACAACAGTTAGTGATTTTTACGTTTATTTTGTTAACATATTTGAAATTTAGAGATAATTTGACATAAAAAATTAATGCGGATTTCCACTTAACTTATTTTTAATTTCTACTATCAACAACTTATAATTAAATTTGTATTACATTTTCAAGTTTTTAACCAAACTACAATTTTTTGATCTATAATAATTTAAAAAAAAAATTAATGATAGTCGAAAATGTCTTATGTCTATAAATATCTCAACATGAGCCAAAATATTTTGAATATTTTATGTTTTATAGAAAATGCTTGCACCTACATATATTCAGTGAATGTTTCATATAACTACGGTCGTTTGTTTGAGACTTAAGACGATATTAAAAATCGATTTTGTCAAAAACTGATTTTGATTAAAAACTCCCGTTTTTTAAAAACAATTTTCCCGCAGCTTTTGAAAACTACTCTTAATTTTGAATTTTTAACTCTCTAATCCATCAACCAGTTTCACTTTTCACCGAAAAAGATACGGAAGTTGAAAACCTAAGAACTATTTCAACTATTTATCGTGTACATAAACAGAAACAAAGAAATAAAAAATACACATCATTGTTAAATTAATCGCTCCTCACAGAATCTAAAATATTTCTTAAATAATCAAACAGACATTGTTCCTTTTTGTAAGTTACAAAAAATATGAACAACTATAGATATCGAAGTATATTATAATATATGTATCATACACTTGAGAAACAAATACATTAGAATATTATGACAAAAATACTTTGTGAATACTCTTATAGTAACATAACAATTTGCACCTATGCTCTTAAATGATATTATGGAAACAAAGAACAGAAGATATAATATTGTATGTATAAACACGTGAACTTAAGTTGTTAACATACAATAATAAGTTTCAAACAATGAGACGAGAGACGAGATAAACATTTGTTGTTAATTATCGAAAAATGGTCAATGCTAACATTTACGTTGTGTTTATCAAAGCGTTTATAGCTGTTATAGCGGTCATATTATTGAATAAAAGTTATTCTGTGGTAATACATTAATACCGGATACAGAATTGTATTATTGTTTATAATAAATAGCAGCTAGGTTCAACAATAATTATTTAATACTAATATTTATTTCTTAATGGATACCATTTCTCTATTGTTATAATATACTAAATATAGATAATATTTTATTTTATTATATTAACTCAGATTGTAAAACAAAAAATATCCCTTCAATTAATATACGTTATTTACATGTTTTGTACTTCCGGGAACAATCCTGTTCTACCTAAATTATCAGAGCATTCCTGAAAATTGACATCTCAGAATTATGTGCAATGACGTGAGATTTCTAATAATCTGAAAACCTATAATAATACTTATATAATATATTAAGATATATATTAAGTTTATAACTACAAGTCGTACCAAGTAGTATCTTTATCTATTTGTTATTTATTAACATCGAATTTCTATTCTTACTTGAGTTATTTTGAAGTATTCCTAGCAATACTGATCAATAATTATTTCAATTTTCATAATTTCAAAACAAGCTT